TTAAAATTATCATGTGGAAAACTGGAAAAGCAGGCCCAGTGAAGTGAAATCCTGCCATAATCAATGGCAAGTCTTTCCTGCCAATCACCAGGCAAATAGAGCACAAACCAAAATGAATGGCCCATGTTGGCTTTTCTGTCCTTTAGAAGGTCACAGTCCAGCGGGAAATTAGGAGCACAAAAGGTTATGACAAAAGGTAAAAATTAGACAAACATTGAAGGTGTTCTATTTTTGGCATTGAACTATGAAAAACTTTCAGAGGAGCAAGATACATGTCTCACTCATTACTAAATCTCCCACGTAGCCTTTCACATAGTACTCAATATATGTATTGTTGAGTCCTTTGCACATAAGCCTTTGGCTAAAATATATTATTAGATGAGTATAGCAATAAATTCACAGAGGTTTTTTTTTTAATCTGAGCAGTTTCACTACATTATTTTTTTAAATGGCTTTCAAGAACACAGATAATAGTAAAATAATTAGAAAGTGATCCATTTTGAGTATTTATTATCTTTGCTTTTAACATAACTTAATTTTAATTTTAATACTTTATAATAAATTATAATAATGACTGTTTAACAACTGCCGTGGAAAATTCCAGAATATTGAACAGTTTGCCTTCATTAACCAGTATTCTAGCATGGCCATGGTTTTAGGCAAAATATTTCAGGTCTCAGCCTCAGTTTTCTTGTGAAATAAGGTAGCTAGACTAGACAGTCTTAAAGGGCACAACCGACTTTGACATTCTATGTGGTCCTCAAAGGTTTAGGTTCATGTGTGACCCCATCTTTCCAAGTGTGGGCACGGTTACTGAGGGGGCACTCCCAGTCTGCTTTCCTGGAGTTCCTGTGCCACATTCTCTCTATACCAGAAGAAATGACATCAAGGGAGCCTTTGAGTCAGGAATTCTAGGAGCAGCCAGTGAGTTTCTGGTCTGCATCACTACTAAATGCTGTTTTATTTTAAGTGAATTAGAAGATATTTAATCAAATGTACTTCTACTCTCATAGTATTAAGTTTGGATGTTCTAAAGGGGAGTAAGGAGGCTTTAAATATCCAGAAAATGACAAGTATGGGAACTGTTACAAGAGGCGAAGGGTTGATAATTAGTGTTTGATGCCTCACTTTATTCTTCCTGGACTGTGGGTACAGACCTATGTTGAATACAATATAGCTGGGTTGAACTAGTTATTTTTAGATTTTAGCTTTTCCATCTATTAAATAAGAAAAAGTAGGCTAGATGGTCTCAGAAGTCTATTAATTCTAAAATCCATCTATAAAATTAAGGTTGTGTTGAACTCTGAAATAGTAGATTTGGGAGATTTTTCAGGAGTGCTGAAAGAAACTTAATGCAAGGGATTTGAGTGGTGACTTCTGTGGCAGAACAGGAAGAGCAGGTGGGAATGCAGACTATAAGCAGATACCTTTGGGGGTTTTCAGGTGACTTCTGCAGTGTAGGGTTCTTTTTTTTTTTTTTTTTTTTGCTGAGTTAATGTAAAGAGTGCAGGATAGTTCATCCACGAAAAACAAGCTGAAAAGAAAAAAAAAAAAGTGACTTGAGACTTCCTAACTTTGGGTGTGACTGATGTGACAAGACCATTTGAACAGAGTGATTGTTCCATGAGTAAATTGATACTGAGATTCACCCAAAGGCAAAGCCTCTGAAGATAGGTAGGATTTACCTCACCCTTCCTGCCCTATGGCACCAGCTGATCTCTTTCCTTCCTTTCTCAATAATGTTTTCCATCTTTATTCAGAGACCAAGAATCAATTCTTGGTTTGCATAGGAGACACCTGGGAGATCCTCTAACTGTGACCACTGATTTTTAAATTGTTAACAGAACCAGTTCTTCAAATGAAATCTTGCTTGGAACAATAATATACTTAAGATGCAAACGCCAAACTTGCTGGTGTTAAGGCATGTCTGGAGTCCTACCAGTAGGGACATTTCTTTACATCTGGCTAACCCACTGAGGCACCAGAAACCCTAGTTTCATGAAACCAATATGAAAACCACTGATCTATTCCAAAGCCCAATCCCATCTTTTGTAATCAAGTCCCCTTAAAGCTTGAGGCCCTGGAGTGGGGGGTAGGGGTCGGGAGGAGCTGTTGTCCCGTTCAATGTAGCAAGCCTAAGATAAAGGTGATCTAGGAGAAAATGAGAGGTAATGGGACCACTGTTTGGGCCTACAGACACAGAAAGAGAAAAAACAATTTGAACTGCAGAGAAATGAGGGATAATTCAGGTTTAATATAATTACTTTTGTGGGACACTTCTACAGCTTTAAGAAGCCTTTCAAATATGCTATTTAATTAGTTCAATTCAGTAAGTATTTTCTGGGTACAAATTACGTACTTGATCTAATCCAACCAATGTATTGACTACCACGCACTGTATGGAAAATGTGTAGCACATTATTTCAAGTAAGCCTTTTAACCACCCTGTGAAGGAAGCATAGTTGAAGAAAATAAGGTACAAAGAGGTTAAGTAACTTGATCATGACTTTACAGTACGTCAGTAGTAGAGCTAAAATTTGAACCCAAGTCTGTCTCACTTCAAAACCCATGTTCCTTCCACTCTAACCTCAAGGAAATATAAAACTAAGAAATTCAAGGAGATACGGGCTTTGCCTTCAAGTTACTTAAGGTCCTCTACACTTGATTAATTGTTGTACAAGTAATATAGGATGAATTAGCATTGATGAGACGCAACAAAAGGCCAGGAAAGTTTGGAGAAGAAAGATTATATATCAAGTAAGGGACCAGGAAATGCTTTGTGGGGAGGAAATCACTGAGGACTGTGTAGGCATCTGTGAGGCAACGGAGCAGGGATGACTATCCCCATGTCACAATCAAGGAAGCTGAAGTTCATGGAGCTGGGAGGCTCTTCCACAGTTTTGCAGCTGATTAGTGGTGACATCAGAAATACAGGGAAGGTCTTTTAGCAGTCAGAGAGAAACTAGAGAGAAAATGTGAACATAACATAAACAATGTCTGATTTAACCTTTTTGCTAATAATTGAATTATTAGCAAATTTTCTCCATCCTTACTTCTGCTAGCATCCAGTTGTCTTCCCCGGACTGGTGTAACCACTTTGCACATAAACTGATATGCTTATAAACCTTTCCTCCACACAGCTTCCAGATTTATCAATATGAAATGTATTCTGTCAGTCTCATCCTTCAAATCCTTTAATACTATGGGGGTGGATATGCCAACCTACACGTGTGATCAAAAACTTGTGTAGAACTAAATACATATACAACATATACATGTGTGCATGTGTGCAAATGAGTACAAGAAAAACTGAGAATTTCTGAATAAGATCAGTGGATCGTAGCAGTATCAATATCCTGGTTATAATTTTTTAAGGGTTTTGTAAATTATGACTTACCATTGGGGAAACTGCATGAACTCTCTCTGTATAATTCATTACAACTGCATGTAAATCTATATTGATCTCAAAATAAAAAGTTCATTTAAAAATGTTTTGCAAAAACTAGAAGTATTGAAATATTTAAGCTTCTTTGAACATAGCATACAATTCTCTTCTCTCCCCAGCTATATTTTCCAGCATTCTCTGCCCCAGATCTTACACTGTGCTAACATAGAGTTGCTTGCAACTTTCTCACATACACCAAATTATTTTCCATTTTAGTATTTTGTCTATTGTTGTTGCCATAGACTGCTCACTCATATCATTAATCCTTACCTGGCATAGCTAATTGCTTCAGATTGTTTAAGGCTCTTTCTTTTGATCCCTCAGATGAGATGATATATTTTATCTTTGTACTTTCATAGTGTTATACATACTCTTACTATTTTTATTAGAGATTTGGTTTCTTGTCTTACCTTCTATACCTTCTAGAGAGTGAGACAGTCTTATTTGCTTTTTATTTTCAGTGGCCTTTATTCTTGCTAGTAAATAATAGGTTCTATGTGTTTAACTTGAGTAAATGAATGTGCTTCTCCATATAGTTTGGAAATTATCAACAATAAATACAATGCTATTATCTTCTATTATGTAACTAGACCAGAGTGTTCCTTTGCAAATTTAAGTTGATTGACTATCTTAGTACACTATTTATTAATACTTTACAATATTAATAGTAATGATTAAGAGCTTAGCTAATTTCATCCTGGGGTAAAATTAGTCTACTGATAATCACAATGAATCATAGACTGAGATGATCTGTGTAGATAATATGCAGACCTGGAGACAGCATCGCCTGAGAAAGCTGGCATTTTCCTTCACATATATAGGGATCAAGGTTATTTATTTTTTTAAGTAAAGGCGAACTTGGGGACCCAGCAACAAAATGGAGCAAACAGAAATGGCATTCATTTGCAACATATTCAGATGTTTACTTATCCTTTAGTCTAACAAAGAATTTTACACTCCAATTAAAAACCGCCCACACACACATCAAAGTAGGTTAACCGGTGATTAAAAAAAAAAAAAAAAAAAAATCTAGGTTCAGAGGTTTGCATTTATCGTCCCTGGGCACAATCCTAAGATGGTAGTTATGAGAGAGGTGATTTTACTGCAGGTGAAATTTAAATTTTCTGAACTCCTTTCTGTTTTCTGATTCTACTTTTTACCTGCTAGAGGCAGAATGGACAGATAATCAGTTGAGACATTTATAAAACAGGTTTAATAATAGGTCACCCTTGCTGCCAGACTTAATGAGGGAATATTTATCTTCTTTTTGAAATCTTCAGAACATAGATGCTGGGTAGTGGAAGTGTCGAGTGTAACAACATTACTAGTTACAAAATAATTTGATATAGGATGTGATTATCTGACTTTACAGCAAAATGGGATCCATGATACTGCCCAATGAAACACCAATCAAGCAACTTCTGAAATTTGCTTTATATGCCTGCATGGTTCTGAAAATTCACCTGAGATTTCTTGATTGAGTATGCTTTAGTTTTAATATTCAATATCATGAATACAGGAACTGTAATTCTAGTTTCATTTTTGTCCTCTTAAGGTTTGTAGAAACTCCAGCTCATTTCTCTTGGAAAGAAAGTTATTACCGATCCACTATGTCCCAGAGCACACAGACAAGTGAATTCCTCAGTCCAGAGGTCTTCCAACATATCTGGGATTTTCTGGAACAGTGAGTATCAAAGAAGCAAAAACATGTTGTATTTGAATTATTATAAATAGATAGAGATTATAAAAATATTGCTTACTAGGGCATGTTTCTAGAATCAATAAAAACCAGTCAATATTGTTGGAAAAATTTATTTCCTCCAATAGTATTTCTGTGTTCAAAATTCAGTAGAGGTTTATTCAGTTTACAATACCAAAAGATCATTATTCCAAGGTGGTATAATTTTGGAGCATCAGAAGGGCTCTCCTCAAACCATAAGAGACTCTTAATCATAGGAAACAAACTTGAGTGTTGCTGGAGGAGGGGGTGTGGGGATGGGGTAACTGGGTGATGGGCATTAAGGAGGGCACATGATGTAATGAGCACTGGGTGTTATATGCAACTGATGAATCACTGAATTCTACCTCTGAAACTGATAATATACTATATGCTAATTAACTGAATTGAAATTTAAAAAAGGTGGGGAGGCTTTCCTGCCTAACTCCCAATAACATCTCCAGTGACTCCCTTGATACCCAAAATCTGTTCCTTTGGCTTAAAGACTCTTATTTGCTCTTACAACACAAATACCCCCTGAGAAGGTAGAATACTAAATTTTGTTGGTCATTTATGCCCTGCTAGGAAAATGATTATTGTCTCCTTTATTAAGATCAAGTTTGGATAAGTGAGTAAATTCAGCGGAAGATAAAAGAATATCGGAGTACTTGGTACTCTAAGGGATAGGGTATAAAATACTCAATTCCTGATACATCCTTTCTCTCCCATGTTCTACTCAGCAATTCTCTGACAAGGGCAGGGATCATGATTCCCACTGTACAAGTAGGACTTAGATTTGAACTGCCTGAGATAACACATTTGGCATGTGGTTGAGCCACGATTTGAACCTAGAGTCTCTGACTCCAACGAATGAGCCTTGCCAACTTTGAAAGAGAGAGAGCTCATTGTTATCAACTGGGTGCTTGTGTTTTAGTCCCATTCCTTGCCTAACACACTTTTGTTTGTCCTTTATGGTAGGCCCATATGTTCAGTTCAGCCCATTGACTTGAACTTTGTGGATGAACCATCAGAAAATGGTGCAAGAAACAAGATTGAGATTAGCATGGACTGTATCCGCATGCAGGACTCGGACCTCAGTGACCCCATGTGGGTGAGTGGCAGGAACATCTCCTTTAATCTGTGGGCCATGCCATCCACATCTCTGTGAAGTCTGTGTATTTCATGGCATATAAAAAGGCAGATGGCCCTGAATGGACAAGGCCACTGGGCAGAGAGTCAATGTGATCAGCAGAGAGAAAATTAAGTGTTTGTGGATTTTGGGTCTTCCTCGACTCTTCTTACTGCATATGCTCCCACTGGTGTGGAGAAGGTGGGTGGGTGGGAATAATCCCTTATGTTCCTTATCTGAATTGTTCCTTATGTCTATCCCAATTTGGAGAGGGTGGTACCAGTCCAGGGTTTTACAAGAGGTCAGGTTAGAGTCAGAACCAGAGTCTAGATCTGAATTCTATCCAAATTCTATCTATACTATGGCAGGCTGCCTCTTTCATGGAACTATCCTTAAATAAAGGAGGAGGAAGTAAATTCAATGTGAATCGAGATACAGATTTAAGTACCTAGTAATAGAAAAAGGGGAAAGAAAGTAAATAATACATAAAATAGTATTTTGGGGGGGGTGCTTCGCCAGTGAGTCACTCATGACCTTGGGCTTCAGTTTCTCATCTGTAGAATGGGGAGACCAGGAGTGTGATGGATTAATAATAATAAAACACTTTTCTGAAATGTTTAGATGAAATTTTCTGTATTTGTGTAGTATATAGTGCTGGGTTGTTTTTTGTCTTATTTTTTTTTTCATTATTATTCATTGACCATACAAATCCTGCTTTTTCTGTAAACACACACAACTCAAACAAACAAATCCTTCTAGAAGAACAGGTGGCAAAGAGCTAGAAAAAAAGGTGGGGATTTCATAGATCACATGTCGACATGATTTTGGAAATCACTTTAAAAATACCTTGCCTTTCTTATCTAATAGAAGATTTTACTGGACTTTTCACTATATATTTTTTTTTATCTGGAATTGTACTTTTTTTGTTGTTGTTGTTGTTAATATTGGGAGAAGGTGTATCAGGAAAGGGAAGGGGAAACAGCCAAAAATAGAAAGTTGTAACTTTGCAAATATACTGATGTTTTGCCACTAAATTGATAAAAGGAATATAACTATTCTTCAGTGGCCGCTTCTGTTATAATACTGACACAGTTGTCTGTTATCTTTGAGCTAGTGAAAGGAAAAGGATGGATAAATTGAAGGGGCAGGTCACTCAAGGCCTTGGAATGTATTACAATTAAACCTATGTAGGGGTAAATTCTGATTTGAGAGTGACTTCAAAATTAGGATATCTCCAATTCACTTAATAATACCACCTCTTGATAGGTAGCACAAGCCTAGGCAAACCTTTCTTTTATATTCTCTCCAGGGATTTTCTGTTCTGATTCCTGAACATAAAAGCAGGTGAATTTATATAAAGCTTGAAATGGAGAATCAAGCCTTTTTATTTATGGTTTCTACTCTTATTTCACACACTTTCACACACTGAAGCATGTGGTTTCTAAATGTGCCATGCCCTTTCTTATTTTTTTATATTATTAGAAATTCTCTCCTTAGGAACATCTTTTTTGTGTGTTTGTTTTTGTTTTCCCCTCTAGCTAATTCCTCTCTGTCTCTCAACAAACAGTATATCCTGTCTTCTCTGGGAAAACTTCCGTATCACTATTCACCACCAGTTTGAGTTAGAGACTATTCCTCTGAAGCAACCTAGGTCTATTTTTAGTCCTATTACTTATTATACAATCTTATCTTTGTTTATTTCTTTGTCTCTCAAGGGGATAGGGGCCATATTTTGTCATGCTCGGTGTTTGTTACAGTAGCTGTCACATAATAGAGCCTCAGGAAATTTTGAAGTTCTGTGAAATGAGAATTGGAAGTTGTCTTAAAAAGTCAAAAGTTCTCTTTCAAGCAGTCCTGTCCAAGAGAACTTTCAGTGTTGTAAATGTTCTATATTCTGTACTGTTCAATGCAGTAGCCACTAGCCACATGTATCCTTTGGGCATTTGAAACGTGGTTAGTGCAACTGAGGACCTTAATTTAAATTAAATTAAAATTTAAATGACCACATGTGTCTGGTTGGTAGAATATTGGGTAGCACAGTTCTAGAATATCTCCAGTCAGAGGACTGTTCTCTTCTTGAACATTCACAGCGGCAAAGCTTCCTGTCCCCTCTGCCTCTCGTATTCCTTCCCTTGTAACTATGGTCTGTCAATTGGAAAATGTTACGCTGCTGAGGTACTTTATTCTTTACTTCCACTGTTTTCTCAATTCTGTTGGAAAGTACTCAGGTTTGCTATTTGAGCAAAACTTTAGTCATTTAACATCCATTTTGGTGCTTTTACAAATCAGCTAAAGGAAACTTTAAAGAAATCCTAGTGGAGTATCTGAGTGAGAGTCATGGAAGCTCTACAATGATGTTAGAAGAGGGAAAAATGAAGAAGGGGAGAAAGTCAAGAAACTACATAGATGTCATTGCCCTCATGATAAGGGTCTAAGAATGCACTGCTGTATGGGTTGGAGGTTATTGTTATTTAAGAAATAGTGATATTTAAAAGGATTATCCATTTGCATTCAACATTTTTTTTTCCTGAGTGTCAGTTATACACACACACACACACAGACACGATATTGATTCTTTGAAATAGATTTTTAATAATGCTACTAGGAGTACTGACTGAAACAGAGTGTGTTCAATTTGAAATTGATCCAGATTTTCCTGTTATAATTCTAAATTACATATTTTTGAAACTACCGTTTCCTTAAGCATCAATAGTTGGTGGCAATTAACATGTTTGATATTTAATCTTTCCAATCACTTTGTGAAGTAGAATTTATTATCGCTGTTTTATAAATTAATCAAAGGCAAAACGGGTTAAATAACTTTTCTAGGATAACATGTGTACTCAACAGCAGTGTCAGTATCTTACCCATACTACTGGACTTGATCTTTTCTTTTCTCATTTTTCCTCCAGGGTACTGTATTTGAGAGGAACTTGAGTTCTATTTCTTCTTAAGTACCTGTCTGTTATGTGAGCATTAGGGATGTCTGTGTGGAGAAACCACTCCTCCTCCATGAGATAATCCTATAGTAGAGTCTCCACACTTTGCCTCCTCTGAAGAGGCACAGGTCACCATCAGTAATGACGGATGATAAAACATTTGTCCCATCACTTATTAGCACCTTCAAGCTTGGAATTGTTTACCAGCTTAAATTGAGGATAACACAAAATCAGGAAATAAGACCCAGAAACATTGCAAGGAAATAGGGATAGAAATGATCCAGAAAAAGCTGGAAAATAAAATGAAATGTGGTTTTTCCAGTGATAGGTCACTTAGGAACAAGGATATTGAAAGAAATCTACAAGTTGAGGGAGAAAGGAACTTGATGACTTAAGCTTGCCTCTCTGTGGCTGTTCTGTTTTTAATATCCAAAGAAGTGAGATATTGCTAGTAAGTTATAGGTCTGTATGAATCCTGTGTCTTCCCTTGTCTTATGATCATTCCAACATCCTCATCTATGGCCACGTGTGGAGGACACATCGATGGGAATGCGTAACAGTGACAGTCCTCAGCACCAGGAGTGGCAAAATGATAGATGTGCTCAGGATCCTATAACTAGTATTCTGGTTTGGAAAGTAAGAACAAGGATCCTCTTAGATTCCTTGTCCTTCAAACAGACAGCTTCTGCTACTTGGTAGCATATTTTAACTTTTTTTAAGTAGAGGTTAATAGCTAAATAGATCTAAAACTCTGCACATAAATTACTTTCCTTTTGCATATAATATTTTAAAAATTTGGGATCTCCGCCAAGCATGTTCTCACTATGCAAGAAATATGAATCTGGGGACATGAAACAACATGTCAGGTTATTAAAGACAGAAATCTTGAAATTGAGAATGGCATTCCATTTTTATTGATTTTTTGATACAACCTTCACCTTAGTAATTAGTCATGAAATGGAGTCATAATGCCTTGCTCTGATTATTAACAAAGGAAATTTGAATTGCAGAGAATGTATGTGCCTTCTTCATTAGAATGATTTTAATGTCACTGAAGAATGAACTACATTGAATTAGCAAATGAAGGTGATGAGATTTCTCAAACATTTTTCGTAATTTAGCCTGTGTTTCCAAGATCCTGTTGGCTTTTGCTTCTACTGTCTAATATATTCCTTTGTATCTCAGCCTTGCCTTATTTACAAACAGCCTAAACATGCCTGTCATATCTTCAAGAAGGAGATAAGGGCATCAACACTTAAATGTTCTCCTGGAATGATTGATGGAAACTACGTAACTTTTATTTTTGCGTTTATTGGTTCTTTGTGCTTTAAAGGAAGCCTTATTTAGTTGAACTGGGTTTTTCCCTTGTGATTTGAGTCGCAATTATCTAAAACCATTCAGCTTTGTAAATTCTTATTATAGCATCCCAGATATACACAAAGAGTCTTCAGCTCTGCATTTCAGAAGAGCAGATAGTGTGTGTTTTGGAAAGGCTTAGGCCACAGCACCAAGTATACTGCCTTACACATTAAATGATCCAAGATTCCTATAAGATTTCAAGTATATATACTAGATCTAGCCACAAGCATTTCCATAGTACTTACTGCATGCTATGTTCTTTGTGAAACAGATGAACAAATCATGGTCTCTAGCTTTGAGAAGACCATAATACAGCAAATGAGCCAATGTGTACAAAATTACTCATATGTATGTATTTTTTTGTTTATTTTTATTTATTTGTTTTTTAAAGACACAAAAGGAATGATTTATTGTGCCTTAAAAGACTGGACATATGTTACAGAGAAGGTGATATTTTTAGGTCTTGAAATATGAGTCAAATTGATCAAAATAGGGAAGGGAAAAGAGGTCCAAGTTTGGATAACTATTATGAAAATAATTTATTAAAAAACTATCAGGTAACACGCAGAAGTTTTATTTTTTTAAAGATTTTATTTATTTATTTGAGAGGGAGAGAATGAGAGAGAGAGAGCACATGAGAGGGTGGAGGGTCAGAGGGAGAAGCAGACTCCCCACTGAGCAGGG